GATTCAGCCAATTAATAGTAATTGAAGTCACATTTTAAGTTAGTATCCATATATATTAACTACTAAATAATAATAATTACTATATGTAGGCCTGCTTCTTTTATAATTGTCAAATCATGCAGCCTGTTTAGGAGCAATATACAATTTCCAACAATTTGACAATAAACAATAAAAAAAACACCCTAGAGTTGCATTGAAGCGACATCTAGGCTCTTTAAATTAGGAGCAGTAAGCATTAAACATGCTTTTAATAATAATAATAATAATGCCTACTTTATTTATTTATTAATATTTTGAATGAGCTTTTGGCATTTTAAAATATTAAAATACTATTTAGTGTTTTTATTTTAGTTTTAGTAATGTTAGTACTTCAATGTAAACCTATTTTATTGCAATGAATGAAATCATTTTTTATAGATTTAGTTAACAACAAAACTGATATGAATCACCCACAATTTATTTAGAACATGTAAAAATCTAGTTACTAGTGCAGTTATAGTAATATGTAGGCCTAATATACATAGCATTGTAATATATTTTGTCACCATTCAAGTTTGCATCTTTTATTATTCCTATATTGCAGAGCTTTTAGAAAATTTTGAGCATTATATCAGTTTGTTCACTTGTCTGACCCTTCAAGATCAAGCATCGCTATAAATAATTGTTTTCTTTTTTTATTCTGAAGTGTGTATAGATGTCATTGGAAACTGATAAATGTTTAGAGCTGACTTTCTTTAGAAAAATCTCTATTCACAATTGTAAAATACAGAAATAAGGAACATCAGCTGAGCATAAATATTTATCTCCTCGACACGAGCCAACCTAGATATGAAATAGGCTTGTCAGGGCTGACTGGTCAACTGGAAAATGTTACAGATATTGCTTCACTTTTGGCGAAAGTGATTCCATTTATGGCATATTAGCCTGTTGCTATGAGAGACACGCAGCCTTTGAGAATTCAGCACGTGTCAGAAAGCCTGTTTTAAACATGTTGCCTAAATATAAACAGCCTTCTGTCTTCCCGCTTAACACAGGCTGAGTATTTGTCTTTTATTTCTAGTGGTCAATTGCTTTTTAATTGCCTCATATCATGTTCTTTGTTGATTGGCGTCGGTTTGGCCTTGTACGTTTTGAAACAAATTTTGGTCTCCCTCTCAGACCATTTTTGCTTGATTTGAATAGTCTGATAGCAACCCGTCCCTTTCTGATCGAATCTGATCCCTGTAGATCCAGAGGAAATGCACAGGATATAGGATTCAGTCAAACTCTGCACATATTAATTCACCTTAGTGAGGGAATAAGTTCCCTATAAGACACAATGGGAAGCAAAATCTTGGAAATGTAATAGAGAAATATAGATTTTTTGGGGGGGAAGAGTAATTCCAGCTCCCGGCTAGATAAAAATGAAGTCATAGATCAGTCAGAGGGTTCCTCTCAAAAGCAATGAGACTGATCAAAAGCCAATTAAGAATACAGAAAGTGTTCAATTCCTCATCCTCCCTCTCCTTCACTTTCATGCTGTATTTTAGGCCTCCTGAGCTTCACCGTCTACGTGGATTAGTTTGAAAAATATCCGCAGAGCTAAAATGCCTCTGCTACTATGAATTGCCATTTTTCCTCACAGATATTTTTAATTTAGAGACGTGCTTTCAAGTTCTGTCCAAACCAAACGAAAGCCTCAGACATTCGAGAGCTTCCTCACCTAGAAGTACTGCAGCTATTCTTCTCAAGTCCAGATTTGCATGTTTTGCCCATTAACCTTCATTTCCTTTTTTTTTTTTTTTTTTTTTCCTTTTTTTTTGGGTCCCGTAGCTTTTTTTTTTTTTTTTTTTATCCTTTGTTTCTGTTTGTTTAGCATTTTTTAAATAAAACATTACTGATGTGATACATTAAGTTAATTCGGAGGTCTCCATCGATTCAAGCAACGATCTTGCTAGCTGAGTCTAACTAAAAGCAGGCTATGTTGGGAATAGCATGCTGCAGATTGTATACTTGTCCAGTATACAAATTTTTTGTATGCATACAAAACCCGGGTGACTACATTTTCCAAACTATGCTTTTCTTATCTTAAGTTAGGAAAGTGGTTGGCTAGCATTTCATACTGAATATAACCAGAATGTACAAACTAATCCTGTACATTAGTGCCTGTCAAAATAAAATGTTTTTCTGGTTAAGCCATGTGTTGCAACACCAAAGTAGCCAATGATATTTCATAGCTCAGTCGTGACAACAGCTTTAACAAGATGTTCTGTTCAAATAGCAAACAAAGCATTATAAATCACAAACAGGTCCCTATTTTATGTCCTGTATGTGCACTCTTGAAGATAAACAGCACAACTTTGCTTTGAGAGGTTTCCAGGCAGGCTTCAGCTGATTGGCCTTAAGTCATTTTCACATATTTCGATCTGAGAAGAATTGTACCAGATTCAGGTATAATCCACTTTGATTAATGCTCCACGGAAAGAACACGCGAAACTCTGGCAATCAAAGCCCTACAAAGCCCATTTTTTATATATTTAGAAAAAAAGATTGCTTTAAAAAGTGATAGTTCATAGAACAGGAAAACAATGTAATTGCATCCATCCATTCAATCGCTGACCTTATTTCAAATGTGATTTTGTTAACATTTATTTATTTCAGGTTTAAGCAATGTCTTTGTAATTTGTTTCAAAGCCACAATCTTAATTACTCAAAGTATTTTTTTTTTCCCGTTTTATCTCTTAAAGGGCACCTATTATGCCCCTTTTTATAAGATGTAATATAAGTCTCAGGTGTCTCCAGAATGTGTCTGTGAAGTTTCAGCTCAAGATATCCCACATATCATTTATTTACTAAACTAAACCTTTCTCTCTTTCATGTCTTATTGCGCTTAAACTGTCGAATACACAAGTTTATGTTAAAAACACGCACAAGTTACAAAAACACAGTCAGTTATGTCTGGGAAAGATATTGCATGTTTATATTAGACCTGTGTTTTAAGTGACAGTAGTGTACTCTACAATACCTACTGCTGTCTATGCTGTTAATATGACCTAGACAATAAAATAAAAAAGAAAATCACTCACCGCTCTTGAATGAACAATTTCTGTAGCTCTACTAAGAAGACATTTCTTACTTGAATGCTGCTTTTAAATGCTCTTGAAGATAAACATGGCGGATTGTGTGTTTGCGGCTCACTCAGAGCGGAGTCTGCTAATACGGCAGTGTCTGTCAACAGTTGTGGGCGGGGCTTGTAAAATGTGATGTCACATTTTTTACAGATTCTGCGAACAGCTTGTTCTGAGACGCTGCTTATGATTTATGGGGTTTAAAAAAAGGAGCGGGTGGATTTTTAGCATTATAGGGTGGTTGTGTACACACACTGCCAACACAAATTTATGTCCAAACAACATGTAAAAGTGAATTTTGCATAATATGTGTCCTTTAATAATGAAGGGTCTTTCTTACGAATGAGGTTTTACAGGTACATACGACCATGTGTAGTCAACATCTCATTTCCTCCTTTATCATAGATAAACACTAGGAGCATTTCTGAGTGTGCTTTGCTCCAATCACATCCAGGCTCTGCTATCACTGATTATGTTGCTGGTATAATAGCTCTTGATAAGTGATCCACTTGGCATTGCAGAGCCGCTCCTTCAGACATACAACAAACAGCAGCTGTGCCAACACTGGAACTCAGATGAAATTAATATGCATTTGTTTCTCAACCTATCAGATTGGCTTGTTGATAAGCAAACTTCTGTATGCGATAATGTGGCAGATATGCTTTAAACCACATTCGGCTGCTAAATGTTGTTTATAATGTGTGAGTCATTATGTAGGGGACCATCTTATGTAACAGATCCACATATACACTCAATCAGTGAAGGTCCAAACAACACCCACAGACTGCACAGCCCTCACAATTAGTGAAGCTTTTTGCTTCAGCCAAAGCTAGTTTGACATTGTATCTAGATGTAACTATTCTTGCATTCACACTTTGACCTCTTTTTTTTTTCACATATTAATGGCTTATTGTGCATGATCATATTTTAGATCCCTTAATCCCACCCCATACCTAGACTTAACAACCACCTGACTAACTATTACTAAACATCAAATTAGGAGTTTATTAAGGGGAATGTTATAGTTAATAATCAGTTGTGGTCCCCAAACTAAAGTGTGACCTTTTTTGTTTTATTAAATCCATTATTCAAAATGTATAAACTTATTACTTGATATATTTTATAAGCTATATGTACTATAATATCAATGATTCATCTGATTCATAAAGCCTCATCTTTTGAATTTAAATATTTATTTGTATATATCCATTATTCAAAATATATAAAACTCTTATTGTTTGCTATATATTATATATATTTATTATAATATCAATGATTCATCTGACTCATAAATAAGGCGTCATCTTTTGAATTTAAATATTTATTTTATTAAATCCATTATTCTAAATGTATATATTGTTGACTATATACAGTGGTGACCAAAATTATTAGAACACTAGTATTTACACCAGGTAAAAAATGGTTTTAAGTCAGTTATTTCTATCTTTTGATGTAGTGTGTCAGTAGGACGTATCAGTTTACATGTCCAAACATTAATTTTGCCATTAATTGTAATAATCCAGTGTGATTTTTTTTTTTATTTGCACAAGGAGTCTGACAACAGCCAGTGCTCCACACAGATATATAGGCTTATATATGATTTTATAAAACTCTTATTGTTTTTTGAGTTGTTCATTATTATTTAAAGGTGATTTTTGTTGTTGTTGTTGTTGTTGTTGTTGTTGTAGATAGCCTTCTTAATGTTTATGGAGTGTTTGTTTTTTTTTCATACTAGTAGGCTATAGCATAATGGTTGTCGCATATTTCAGATAAGAACAAAATGTTGGTGAGTAGCTACAACCATTAATCAAATGGTACAGCAAACTGAACATGCATGGCAACAAAGCGCAGCCTCTTTCAGCTCCACATACACTCAGATCCTGCGTTGTTTTGGCTCCAGCTGCGGCTTGCGTCACCGCGACGTCAGAATCCTGTGAATGCTCGAGCTGAGAGCAGCGTTGGAGAGGCAGAGTCCGTCTGACTAACACCTGATCAACACGCCTCTGAACGACCAGAGGATGCATCAGTCCATTCTTGCGTTCAGTCGCCACTGTTTTTAAAAGCGTCCCGCACAGTGACTGAAATGTGGAGCGTGCGTTAAACACAGTCGACGCGTTTGAGTTTCATTCCTTCGCGAAATTGAAGCGTTTCTACGAATCATAATGAATGACATAAAAGTTGCAGTTATGGGATCCGAGGGTGTCGGGAAATCAGGTATGTCTATTTTTATACATTATATCTAAGTGTGTGTGTGTATTATACACAATTTGCACAATGCAGTGCAAATTACAAAAAGAATATGCTTCATATTTTGTTTTCTTCTCTACGTTCACAGCACTTATTGTTCGATTTCTAACCAGGCGATTTATTGGAGAATATGCATCGTCATCAGGTAGGCTATTTGTGATATTGTTTTCATATTGCTGCATTTTGAATACTGTTGTTCAGAGAGGGTCTACTTATAGGGTTGGAGAAGTGTGCAGGACTGATGAGGTAGCCTATATGGTGGGTATCACCAAATGTTTGCAAAATCAGTCACTGTAAAGTTCAATAATCTGCTTTTGTGGTATTTTGTGTAATTTTGACTGCCTGTTTTTATATCTGGATGTTTGTGAGACCACCCAGCAATGCTCTACAAGGGCAATGGCACTAATGGGTGCAGTGCCAAGTAGGCTACACACAGCGTGCCAGTGAATCACAGCAGTTTACTGTATGCGCAGGAATCTTTTGTATCTGATGTGATCTGTTCTTGCCTTTACAGAGTGCATCTACAGAAAGCGCATGTCTATTGATGGAAGACAGCTTAATCTCGAACTGTATGACCCATGTTCTCAGGTATGTGGGTAATATGCAACTGTAATTATACTACTGTAGTAGTAATCAAGGCAGTGCCTTCATAAAGCACCATATGGTTTAGTGTGCTAAAGTGAACATGACTAACTGTGCATATTCCAGTGATCTTTCTTTAAGATTGCTTAACCTTTGCCTGTTTATACATGTAGACTGAATTTCATTTCTTGTGTGTGTTGTATATGCATACGGATTTTACTGTAAGCAGCCCAATTCATAGACTTGACTAGTTTAGACATTTTCCAGAGACCTTGGCGTCATCAAAAGCAAAAAGGGTTAACTTACTAACTATTAGTGTGTATCCAGAAGAAAGCCAGTATCATCTGTTTTACTGGCGTTAATGAGTATTGCAGAGTTGTGGGTCTCGCTGCCTTATATAATCTTTCCGCAAGCTCCAGACACAGCTAGCAGTATATAATGCACCAGTCATTCCTGCTCAGGACTGTAAGGCTATATTAGCCCTGAACACTTATATTATTATTTGGAAATAACCCTTATATAATCACACAAGAGTGAGGTAATATGAGATGAAGTGTGTATTTTAAAATACTTTTTTTTTTCCTTCCTGAGCCTAATGTATATATATTATTAATGTGGTTAAAATGAGGTAAATACAGTCTGGGAGGATGAGTGTGTTTTCCTCTTGGATAAAATCCAATTATTTTATCAAATCTGTTGCCCATTATGCGATTGGATACCATCTGTGCCTCTTGGGGGTCCAGTTGATTATCCTGATTTTCCTCACAATCCCATTTAATCATATTGCTGGTTTAATAACAAAGCTTAATCAACAGTATTTGTGGCATAAATGTAGATTACTAGGAAAAATGATTTGGTCTTGTCCCTGGTTTTCTTTAAAAACAGCATGGGGCCAATTTTTGGAGGATTTAAAGGAATAGTTCACCCAAAATTGAACATTTGCTGAAAATGTACCCACCTTGCCATCCAAGATGTAGATGAGTTTGTTTCTTCTTTGGAACAGACTTGGAGAAATGTAGCATTACATCACTTGCTCACCAGTGGATCCACTGCAGTGAATGGGTGCCGTCAGAATGAGAGTCCAAACAGCTGATAAAAACACCGCAATAATACACAGTACCACCCCAGTCCATCAATTAATGTCTCGTGAAGTGAAAAGCTGCATGTTTGTAAGAAACAAATCCGTCATTAAGACTCTTTTTAACTTCAAAGCATTGCCTCCTATCTATAATATTGCAAACTCCTGTGAAAAAGTTGTCTTTTCTGAATCAGGTTAGAAATATGCACAGATCAAGTACAGTTTAAAAGCAAAAACATTCCAAAACAGTTTTAAATAAATATACTGGGGATTTTGATGTGAGAGGACAACAGGGGGAAGATTTTTGTACTGGAGGAAGCATTATTATGGATTATTGACTATATTCGTTTTGTAAAACATATTTGGATGTGTGATTTCTTTGTGCAGCCATGCCAGGGGAAGTCCACACTCAATGAGCAGATCCACTGGGCCGATGGCTTTGTGGTCGTTTACGACATCAGCGATCGTTCCTCCTTCCTCACGGCCAAAGCCATAGTGCACCTGATCCGAGAGCTTCACCTGGGAGGATCTAAAAGGTAGCGGCCACTCTGAGTGCATGCTGTTCACAACAACACCCTCAGGCAGCAGAAGATGTGTCTATTTCTGTCCATATATGAGTGTTGCTCTTATGTGGGTGTCCATAATTCACCAGCTTCGGTTCACATTGAGGAGGATTGTTGAATTGAGTATGTGGGCAGTGCTAATGGGCGGATGAGCTGGTGACTCAGAGATTCAATGAAAAACATCTATTTTTAGTTTAGCCTTGGCTATTGAGAAATTTTCAATGATTACGTAGATGCATTTGAGGTAAATTCACTTTATAGCAGAAATAAGTGGAATATTGATCGGTTTTTATTCTATTCACATTGACATTTATTTGCTTATTCATTATTTCTATGCATTATTTCAGGCTGTTCTTTCTGCTCCTTTTACTTTGGTTATAGTAAATGAAGCATTGCCAGACATTGCCAGTTATCTTAATCTGATCAACAGGAAAAATAGCATTCAGAGGAATTTAGATATCTGATAAAGCTATATTTTAGCAAGTAGCAAATAGTGAAACATCTTCAGTTATGTTTTTACCCTTGTGACAGCAGGGACACAGACTCTGTGATTTTCCTGGTGGGCAATAAGCAAGACTTGTGCCACATGCGGGAAGTGGACAGGGAAGAAGGACAGAAGTTGGCGTCCGAGGGCCGCTGTCAGTTTTACGAGTTGTCTGCTGCGGAGCACTACCAGGAGGTGGTGCTCATGTTCTCTATGATCGTGCGCAATGCCAGTCTGGGAGGCAAGGCGAAGGAGCGCCGCCGTCGTCCTAGCGGTTCGAAATCCATGGCCAAACTCATCAATAACGTCTTCGGAAAACGACGGAAATCTGTTTAAAATGAACTTGGACAATTGCTACAGGACTGGCGTTTGAGATGGGTCAAATTTGTTTATATACTGTAGTTCCTCACTGCTTATTGTTGATGCCTTGTCTTGGCCACACAGTCATTACCGGGTGAATCTCATGAAACACATGAAGAACATGGACATTTTTCACCCTAAAGTCAAAAGAAAACAAAAACTTTCTTGGCTTCAAGAAAAATAAGCCTGTTTTAGAACCATTTTGCATTGCAACAATATTTTCTTGATATTTACCTCATAATTTCTCATTACCGTAATGGAAATGAGAATGACATTGCATTGTGGCAATGAGATAATGTGTCAATTGTCAACATTTAATGTCATGGTGGAAAACATTTAAAATAGGTTCAATTTTATCAATGCAAAATACAATATCCTAATCTGTGTGTAGCTGCACATCTCTGCTTTATGCCTTAAATGTTTCTTTAATCACTTCTTAGGATGTTTAAATGTCAGATTAAAAAAACACCTTCGGTGATATTTCAGCTTGAGGACTTGCGAAACTGCCAAGTCAAAGTCAACTCTGAGGTTGTGAAATATATGTACGCAGATCAAATGTTTCTTGTGGTTCACTTAAAATTTGTTTGTGCAGTAGAAGAAATTCTTCACTCACTGTTTGATGTAATTTAATCACTTTCTACATATATGATGTGAGCAACGACATGTCATGACATTTATGGGTTTTGAAATATCTTCATATTCCTGTAAAATAAAAACATCTGTCCATTAAAATGTGACTGTTTTGACCACGCATCTTTTCATTTTTGTAGGAATGGACATCTAAAGGTATTTGTTAAGTCAAAATTGGGAAACAACTGGCCTGACCAGAAAATAAGTGATAGGTATGCAGTATTGAATAGTTTTTCTGAAATGTTCACCAGAATGGCATTATCTTTAATGTTACGCAACAGAATTGCTTCAGGTAGCAAGTTGACATTACAGTAAAGAGGTAATGACGAACATTTTGACGAAGGTTTTGGAAAGCACCAATAAAATGTACGACGAATCATTTAGTTGGTTCTAATTTGTTCTACAAATTACCAGATGCATAGTACATGATATATTGTACAAACTGCCAATTATTTTTTAATGGAATGCTTGCACACTACTATTTACTTTTACTATTAAAACTATTTAAAAAAGTAGTAAATTGATGGTATAAAATATCAGTTGATGTTGCTTCTGGTTCATTCCTCACACTGGCAATGGAAGGTCAAAACTCATTGTTTTGGAGAAAGACAAGGGAAAGACAAGGCAAAGACAAGCTATTCATGTCTTTCGTTGACCCTTTGGACATCTGGCCAACATCCAGCATGACGGTTTCCAACAACAGCAAGTTATGCTGAGTAATATTTGAGTGCCAGACTGTGGATTGGGTCTCTCTAGTTCTCATACCTGCAGAAGCTTAAATGAGAAACCCCTTTATCAACATCGGGGAGAGGAGCAGATGGCTGTTTGTACAGCATTGATTCAAAAGGAGATATGAAACGCAAGGTGTTTTGCTTATGAGGGTCTTGTCATCACATATTGATTCCTGGATAAACACTCTTGAACAGCTAAACATGCTGGGAATTTCACTTTTAGCTCATGTTTTGCAAACTCCCTCTTCTTTTGGGGAGATGAACCATGGTTCTTTCTTCCTATTAATATCTAAGCATGTTTTTCAACTTATCGTTATTTTGTCGGACAGCTTTGTTGGGCCTGTCAGACAATCAGAATTTAGTGTTACAGTTTGTGTTAGACTTGTAGTGTTCATCTGTTGTTTGTTTCAAAATCCTTACTTTCGAAGGGCCCTTTCAATTGGCCAGTTTTGAGCAGTTTTGGTTTGAAAATGGCCTTCAGAGTCAAATTTATCCAGCAGATGGATGCCATTTTAGCGCCTCTAGTGACGCCAAAGGGAATTGCAATCTGTTTGTTTGAGTGGCTCAGTTTGGCCCAACTTACAGGCAATAGTGCAAGTTGGGATGAGGGAACCTGTTTATCCAAACAAAGGTTGATGAGGGAAGTGTTTAAAATTAGTTTGTAAGTCTTTATTTGCACCATTCTGCTACCTGTCACTAGTTGTGCAGAAATTCCTCACATTACCCTTAAATTTAAAAATGCCTGCTGTATTGAAACATTTGAAGGTGCTTTTTAACTCCTGATTTTGTATATACTAGCGTAATAATATGAATTTAAATAGCTAATTTAACACTGTATTCACTTTTTGAAGTAAGGGGTCAGGTTAGGACTATGTATGTTTGACAGGAATTTTTCATCATCATAAACCATCACGTGATAAGAATTGCATCAACTCACCTCGGTTTTGCTTTGTTAATCGCAGCTTTCAGATCTAACTATGCAGCTCTTTTTAAGTCATCTTAATACTCTGTTTTTACTTTGTTGTACTGTCAACAAGGAGAAAAGAAAAGAAACCTGCTGTCATAACTCAAGCTTATCCTCCCGCCTTAAGTTTCTTAAGTTTCGCTTTAAATTCATGACATTATGAATAACATTGTTTACCACGCCATGTTCTCGTATCTTCATTCACCCAGTAAAGCAGCTGGTAGGCTACAGGTGGAGGAGAGACCATGGAGTGGATGGGTGGTGTGTGTTTACATGTGGAAGGATGAGCAGCAGAAGAATCAAAAGAAAGAGGTGTTGCTGGAAAGCAAGCGACCGGTTATGAGAGATTTGCCGTTGATCCTGCTTCAGGTATTCTTGGCAAACGCTGGATCTTCAGCCGATCCTCAACACCTGACCAACACAAATCACAGCCCGGGTCGGCACGCAAAATGATCTAACTGCAACAGACCGTGTACCCATCCATCACAGATGGAAGTACTGTCTTTTACCTCCACAGAGGACGACTCGCTGGCAGCAGGTGTGCTGATATAAAAAGTGATTCTCACATTTCCCTCTCAGTGCTTCTAAATGAATCATCAAAGTACAATCTTAAAGGGCCGTTCATCACATGAACGATAAAACTCTTTGGACTCTGGTGGGCTGTTAATGTTTTTATTGTTTATTAGCTGTGATTCCAGCGATGCCTCTGTCATTATCGTTATAGCTGTGATCTCTAGATCCCTCAGATAGATTTTTAAAAGGATGTTGTTATCGTTATAGTTATTGTCGTTGGTGTGAACGGACCTTAAATGTTTAATTATAAGATATCACATCATCTTCAAGATGGGGTTCACTCCTGTGCCATCTATGTTTCTTATTAAATTACACTTTTTTTTTTTTTAAAGTGAAAATGTACTGTTGTTACTGCACTTAGCCTAATTAGGATATATTAGTTATATATCACTAGTTATAATTGCCATAACCTAATATAGTTAGGTTGAATCAGTAAATAAAAGGAGTACTCAGTATTTTTTATTTGTTCATAATATTTTATACTTATTTACATTTGTTTTTCAATAACAGGAGTGTTACCGAAATAAAGTTAGTAGTATTCAGCTGGTCATGTGATCTAAAAATGGCTGCCCCCATAAGGCGACCTGCTTCAGGTAAATGCTACAAATATCTCATGTAAGTGTACAACATCTGAAACAAAAAGTAGCATTAATTTCTTCAACATTTTAATTAATTAGTGCACCTTAATATTGCTGAACTGAACAAAACTAGGACTATACAACACTTTTGTTCGTCCATTGCATGTAACTACCCATTTAACACATACTGAATTCGTAACATATTGTGTATAAAATATTGACCTGCTTATGGAGTGGGGTAACTCAAATTTGTTAAAAACTTCTTTGAGATCATGACTTGCTCCACAAGCAGGAGTATCAATGCGTATTTGTGGTACTTTTTGAAGAATAGTTTTGATGCTAATGCAGAGTAAAAATTTGAATATTGAATCATTCCTATGCTCAGTAATCACTCGCATGTAATCAGTCTCTCATTAACGTGTGTACACAAGCCATGCTAATGAAAGCTAGGACTGATTAGCCGTTAATTAACAGCACATCCGCTGGAATTCAGTCTGAGGTGATTTGGCTGTGGGAACTCGTACACTTCTGGACTGCTCATGTAAAGAGAGACGTGAAATTGTGTTTTCATTTCCACCGTCACTGCACCTTGCGTGTGCTCTTACAAAAACAAGCCGTTGCCTGAGAAGGAGATGGAAAGAAAGTGCCATGCACACCATAAACCATAATAGCTGAAAGCTAATTCATAACTGAGCCAAGGGATTGCCTTGCAGCAGCAGGCTGGAATCTCTTTGATGAGGCCAGCGGAATAAAGGCCTAACATATGGATCTGATTAGCACAGGCGAAAATGATTCTTTGATTAATTTCTGCCCGAGGCTCGAGTTCAGTGTGTTGTGATACTGATGTTATAGTGTTAATCTTTGCACTGTGTTTTTAAATGCATCCCATTCTGTCTGGATGAATGGGGCAACAGATTTTGGCCTCCACATCAAAAAGATTGGACTTTGTTGTAAACTTTTATTGACCCACATTTAATGCATTTATGTATGTTGCATTGGCGGCATGAGAAGCTGATATATGTTAAGTTCAATGGGAGGGTGATTTGTTTAAGACATATCACATTAGCGCACATGTATGGAACGCAAAGTGGAGACAAGAATACGCGCTTTCTGCATGCTCACATGACAATAAGAAGATGGAGAGCGTGGTCGGGAATACACAGCGAGATTACAGATTCTTTCACTGTATTGTGCTGTTAAATTTATAGAGTAATGACGCTAACATGCTTCAAAGTTCACATGGCTTTCAAGCTGGCTTTACACGGTTTCTAGCTGGATGATACTGGTTATTTAGGATTAGTAGTGTCAGTGTTAAACTGGTTTAGGTGGTTGTTCATCTACTAAACTATACCTAAAAGCAGGTGAGACCTTGTCAGACACGAGAGGTCAAAGTTTGGCTTGTTGGCACGGCCAACTAAAATTAGCAGTGACGTCATTTTCATTTATTTATGAATTATTATTAACTGATTTTTGCAAGCAACATAAATATTTCTTAAAATTCATTATATTACAGTAGAATACATTATGTTTTACCAGTGCCTATTTTTGGAAAGCTCTTAAAAACATAAAATTATGGTATGTCTTTCAAGTTTTGTGTGTGTGTCACTTTTGACTTCACAGTGGAGGATATTTGTGACTTTGTGACAAAATATCATAGAATTTGATTAAACACACATCAACAAAAACAACAACAAAAAAAGGAAAGTTTTTCTCTTCCCTTTTTCATATTGATATACCATTTTTATGTGTGTGTGTGTGTGTGTGTGTGTGTGTGTGTGTGTATACACGCCGTAAATATAAATGTTAAATATATATGTATTTTAACAGCATATATACATATATGTGTGTGTGTGTGTGTGTGTGTGTGTGTGTAGTGCATAAAATATTAATTTAATTAATAAAAATATGATTAATGTATTTTAAATATAAAATTTTAAATATAAAAATTATATTTAAAATATCTATTTTTTTATTTGCTTTTTCCCCCTGTTGCTCATGAACAGACAAAATCTAAATCTATGACCTATTTTTCATGACCCACTAGCAGTTAAAAGTGAGTATTGACCCAGTTGAATGGCCTGAATTGTTTCTAAATATTCTTATATAAACTACAACATAGTTCTACAATGCATCTTCATTTTGACTTGAAATCTTAACAGACCTGATTTTATCTACAGACACCATAAAACTCTTATACATCTTATGCCACTCAGGTTTAAAGGTAAGATTTGGCACCAGCTGCGTCTCAAACTACACTGACGGGAAGCGA